TCTTCGGTGCGATCTCGCGACGCGAAACAATTTCGCGCAACTCTCGTTACACGTAAAGTCCGTCAACTTTTCGATCGAGAAAACCTCCTACGCATCTCGAAGCTCTTTATACTTCCGTATGTTGCATAACGAGGAGGTTAAACGAAACGAATATACCGACGGTAACTAAACCAAGGGAATTTTGATCCAGGACGACGAAGGTTCGACCCGAACTCGTTTAAATCGACAGGGACCGTTGCGGCGTGTAACCCGATGCAGAATAGGCTCCCCGCGTGGATGCACGGCAACGCTCTCCCAGCGTCACTCGTGTTTGCGGACGCGCACCGGAAAGCGTACTCTTGATTTTCCAATAAATCTCAATTTAAGGAGACCGTTTATACGCACGCATAACCGCGCATTTCATTTTGCCGAAGCAATTTCGTAATGACGCCCGAGAAACGATTATTGCCCCGGGGGACGCGGTCCGCGTTGCCTTTTGCCCGGGTAATGCGTATAAGTAGGCTGGCTTTAAGCCGGAGCATTACCGTTCACGATGAAATAACAGTGATTACGGTGCCCGCGGTATACACTCGCGACGCCTATCACGATCCAATAGCGAGAAAAGACACTGCTCGGATCGCGTCTTCCTCGCCGACTCGCCGCGAACCTTCTTTACCTTTCTTTGTTTCCACCTTTCATCCCCTGTCGCCCTGATCGAAAATACAACAAGATCATCGATCGTATTAGCGCGTCGAGATTAGCGAAAGAAATTCAGCTCGACAGACCTACGGAGACGTCGAAACTGCATAGAAATCGAGGGCAGCGTTGACACTGTCGAGATGTTATTCGCGTCAAAGGTCTAAAGAACTTTTCAATGAAATGGACGCGACTCATTACGGACAGGTTTCACACCACTGTAAGGTTTGCGGATCCTTTCAACGACGAGAGAACCTTCGATTTCACTGGGAACGTCGCACCCAGGTCTAAGAAAAAGAAATTCTAATGCCACCGTTCGTGCGACGTAACATCCGGCCCATTCGCGTCTGCGTCGTCTTCATTGTGACCGCTCCATATACACTCCGGAAAATCCGCTTCTTTGTGCGTCGCGCGTGTTACCTTTTTTTTTATTTTTTTTTTTGGACGATCGGGATCGAAACGGACGACGAGAAAAACGGATGAATTTTCGGCGTTGAATACGCCCGAGGGCAAAAATATTTCGTGAATTCCCATTTGTCTCTGGGTCGACGAGTAGTTTTCAATAGGGTCTGCGACGGCAATATTTGTAGCAAACTTTGAGTCCCGAAAGCTTTTTTAATACGCGGTCGTTTCCAGACACAATGCAGCCCGCTTATTGCGGAGGCCGTCCCCGAGCCGCATTGTCGAGGAAAACCGACCCTTTATGCCCTTACACGCGCATTGGCTCGAGTCTCCCTTCTTCTGGAAAACTCGACGGGTCCGTACCTGGCACGCTGAAAGGTTCAAGAAACGCTTCCTCGAGTTTATCCAGCGGCCGTGGCCGAGGCTGCGCTCTCTTCTCTTGAAATCGTCCTTTGTCGTCGGAGGATTTGTTGCCGCAGTTAAACCTACCAGAAGGACCTCGACGTGTAGCATGCGATAGGTCGTCGGGAGAAATCTGAGCTCCGCTGGTAAAATCACGTTACAGAAATTGTCCCGAGGCCAATCACCGAGCCCTCGTGTCCGAAACGAAACGTGCGTCACGGATTCTATCATTCGCGATCTTTCATCCGTTCGACAGTTCGCGACCGACTCCTGATCGCGTCTTCTTCTCCTTCGACGCGAGACGCTCGTAGTCCGTTGATTATTTTAAGGAGTGATCGCGTGGGCGGTGCGAGCAAACGATAGTCTGGAAAGATGCTCGACGTTGATTTCGGTTCGCGTTAAATCGTTCGCGGTGAGAAATCTCCGGGTGCAAGGAACGCAATGAGAGCGCGCTTATTTCAACAATTATACGTGTCGTTCGCGTCGGGAGGGTCCGGGAGACGAATCTCGAGGCGAGCGCGAGCGCTGCAATTGACGCGAGTAATTATGAAACCCTCGAAATGCGCACCCGACCAAGTATCCACTTGGCGCGTCTAATTATGTAAATCGCGATCAAGTCGTAAATTAATTAGTCCCGCTGACTAATTGAAAGCACCCGGGCTGCTTGATCGATCGACCAGCCGACGAGCTCGCGGAGAGTTGCGAGCATTACAAATCGACCCGTCTTTTCGCTTCTGGCTGCCGCGGAATTAACTCGGCCTCGAGCTTCGTATTTGATACAAGTTCTTTCTCTCAACAGAGAACCAGGACACTGGTTTCGAAGTAAAAGGAAGAAATCTGGATTTGCGTTCATTTCCGTGGAATTAATTCACGATTCGATCTCCGAGTGCTTCAAGTCGAATTTACAGAGCGGCTACGTATACGGGACACCGTCGATTTTTCGGGCGACCGCGTTCGCATAAATTTCGCTCGCGTTTCGATAACGTTACACCAATCGTTCCGTGGCGGTCGCAACTCACCGGCTGAAGGAGTCGTAATCTCGAGGCCCTCGGGAGCCAGAAGAATTATTTGACGGGCAAATAGCTGGGAGAAGACGCACGCGGTGCTTATATCATTTTTCGTGCGAGAGCACCGCGGAAAGATAGGAGCGCGATCGATCGGTAAGTATAGTAACGGGCCAAGCAACGGTCGCATTCAATCGATGGACGATTGAACGCAATTGTATGGGATGGGAGTGGCCCGGCCAGGCTCTTTTCGAACGGAAAAGGCGCATCCTGTGCGCCCTGTCAACTGACAGTTGACAATGTACCGGGTCCACGATCGGCTACGAGGACGCTCACCCGCACCCATGCATTTTTCGGCGATCGCGAGATCTTTGAACCGAAAAGATCACTCGAAAATACTTTGTTGCGTACCCAACTCCAACTTCGAGTATAGGTCACAACGATGGATACTTGTTACGAATTGTTTAAACGAACGAGAACTAAAGATTTTGGGCGGCAACGGCGGTAGACATAGAATGACGACGCGATGGTATCTCGGGATAGTAAATTACGATAGTCCTTCGTCTTTCTCGCGAGATGTCCAATTTGATTAGCTACGATTAACGAAACGCGCGTATCGGGAACGTCTCGGGATGCGACTATTCCGTTGGATGATGCGTACGCGCGTTCCACATGACGTGCGAACGGGGTCGCATCGGTTCAATTAGAAGCAACGCTAACAATAAGTACGAGATCCACCTACGAGGTAGCCTCGAGCATTCTTCCTGCACACCCTATTACAACTCCAACCAAGCTCGTTAGAAGATCGCACGACGATACCACAAAAATTGATCGATCGAATAGGAACAGTGAAAGATATTCGAGGCTTTCGTGGCACGTTTGGTTCTTCCTGTATGGTACCAGTCTAATGCTAGCGAAACTTGGATTGATCGTGGAGGTAGATTGACGCCACAGGGTGCATTCGAACCAAGATAAGAAAGAGGGCCGAGCTCGAGGAAGAAGAAAACGAGGGTGACACGAGAAAACGAAAGGAATGGTTTCGTGGTGGACCTCACGGCCGTAAATGAGACACTTTGCCTCTGACATGATTGAGATGAATCGCTTCTCGATAACGCTGGCATGTCTCGATGCCTGGAGAGTTATTAGAAACATTTTGTTGGCACACGCTTCACGCTGGTAATCCCATTCGGATGGCTCCGCGGCCACAATACCGATACTAATGCTAATAAACGAAACCGGTAACCGAGAAGCAATCCAATCACGAACGATCATTCCATCCAGCAAGCGTTCCTTTACGTACCCCTGCCTTCAAAGGCAACAGGGATGATATTTCGTTTCAAGGACTATGACATTTGAAATTTGAATCTTTAAAAATCTCCCGAATCCCGCAAGCAAGGTTTAGAAAGGTCGCTTTGATCGCTCAGATCAATGCTATACGTCTCCAATTACATTTTCGACGATAAATCGATAGAAATAATTCCTTCAAACGTTTTTATACGTATGTTTAAAGATTCCTCTAAAAACAATATTACGTATGCAGTGTATACCACAGCATCGTTTAGTAGACACGGTCTACTAATAAAAAGAAAAGAAAAGAAAAGACGCAAACAGATTGCTATGGTCGAAATGAATTTATAAAACATTGCATATACAAAGTTTCGCGCTAATGGACCCACGATTGGTATCGCCATCTAGCGGCTAGAGTTTTGAGAATTGCGTTCCAAGTTTGCAGGGAAATAGTTCCTACTTCTCCCGCTAGATGGCGAATAATCTACTACACCGGTGGCGCCCCATTGGTGGCAAAAGGTCCAAGTTTGTAGTGAAAATAGTTCCCACTGTTGTATTAAATACATATACAGGCTGTCCCAAAAATGTTGGAGTTCCTTGAAAGGGGTGGTTCGGGAGGTGATTTGAAACAACTTTTTCCTTTGCGAAAATGTCGGATGGTGCTTCGTTAAGGAAATATTAACAAAAAAACCCCGACCAATCAGAGCGCGCGTAGACCGTTGGAGCAGTCGCGGTAGCGAAGGCTACGCGCTAGGCGGCCGCGCTTGTACGCGAACAAGTGACTCGACATGCATCGAAGGACATTGGACGCGGCCGCTCAGCGCGTAGCCTTCGCTACCGCGACCGCTCCAACGGTATCCGCGCGCTCTGATTGGTCGGCTTTTTTTATTAATATCTTCTTAACAAAGCTCTATCCGACATTCTTGCAAAGGAAAAAGTTGTTTCAAATCACCTCCTGAACCACCCCTTTCAAGGACCTCCAACATTTTTGGGACACCCTGTATATATATATATATGATTGGAAAACTATTCATAACAACGATAAATAGTGTTATAAAGTAAAGAATGGAATTAATTAAACATTTATTAACAATACAGAGTAATTTATTAAAAGATATTAGTAGCGCCATCTTACAAAAATAATAGAAACTATTTTCATGACAAACTTGGGCGTTTTCCCATCGATGGCGCCACTGATCCTAAAGAAACGCGTCATCTAGCGGCAGATGGCGAAATGCCGATACCCCATGAAACGCAACGCAGGTGTCTATAGCGTAAAATTATAGAGCAACACATGATTCACAAATGAATTTATTTTATTTGGATTTTGTGAGTTTATAACGTGCTAGTCCGCAATATATCATTCTTTGCGAACATAAGATTGCACGATTATTTATTTAAGAAACTACAGTGACACGATAAACATTTTTTATGCCGTAAAGTGTGCGTGTTTTAATTATGAGTTTTTGTATACATGATTCAGACGTAGCTCTGTGTAACAACGAGTATGTTATTATATACAATATTGATAATGACACGAAACACACGATTCGTTTGCCTGACTTGCAAACAAAAAGAAAGATTGATTCGCACAATAATGTAAATATCGAAACATTCCACGCGATAACGAATGTGTCATTTTCGAATGACGGAAAATATTTCTTCGTCTGTACGAACCGCAAGCAATTGTGTCTGTACGAAAGAAAAACTCGGAACCTTGTTTCGAATAGAACGCTTGCAAGAGCTGCTAGCAAAGTGCAATTTACTCGTAGTAATGATATAGTTGTCGCTGATAAAGCAGGAGATGCTTACTTGTTTTTTAGCAATAAATCTGACGATGAAGTTTTACTTTTGGGACACTTGTCGATGTTACTCGATGTATTAATTACAGAAGATGAAAAATATATTATTACTACTGACAGGGATGAAAAGATTAGAGTGTCAATGCTCCCAAATTCATATAATATTTTATCATATTGCTTAGGCCATAAGAAATTTGTAACAAACATTTTGGAGCTACCTCATGATAAAACTGTTTTGGTATCTTGTGGAGGAGATGGTATTTTTGTACTATGGGATTATAAACTTGGAAAAGAATTATTGTCTGTTGACTTTACTAACAAAATATCTAAAAATGATATTGAAAAGTTTAACCAACAACTTCAAGATTATCATTTAGATGAATCTGTGGAAATTTTACCTGTGAAACATATGAGACTCTCTATGCTTGATAGTCTATCATCTTTAGTTGTAATGAGCTTTTATAATAATTCGGTATTATTGGTTTACATCATTAGTGGCAACAAAAAATCGAAATTTAAAGCAACATATGTTCAATCTATAGTTATGGATAGAGAACCCTTGGAATGCTATCTCTACAAACAAAATTTATGGCTGTTAAATGAGTTGGGGTTTAAAGTGTACGAATTTAAACAGGGTAATTTTATACCTGGTCATGAAATTAATTGTAAACTGAATCGGTTAAATAGTCTTTGGGAAACATTGAGAAACGACTCAATCAAGCAGAATTTATTTCCAATTTTATATAAAAGAAAATATGACAATGTACAAGAATATTTAGAAAGAAAAAGGACACGTCTCGCAAACATCGCCGAATAATTTTTACTATTGAATAATCCATATTTGTTCCAATGAGACAACCAAGTATAATTAAACAAATTGTATAAAAGTTCAAAAGTATTCGTATATTATCAAAAAAATTATTTGTTGTTTTGAAGCATATGTTTTCATTAAAAATACAAATATTATTACAATAAAGTAAATTTGTTTTATTAAACCACACATTGGTTAGCAAAGTAACTGATATTTAAAGTGAGTGTAGTCGATATATATCCATTAAACTGGTTTATAATCTAATTTAGATTCAAGTTTCTTATTATCCGAAACTTTTCTTACTGCTTTCATAAAATCTTCTTGCACTACATATTCTCGTTCTAATCTTATCGCAAATAGTCCCGCTTCGGTACAGACATTCCTCAAATCTGCGCCATTGAATCCATCGGAAAGCTTAACTACTGCTTCATAATCTAGAATAAACATAAAGTTATTAATATCCTATCTATGGAATAAGGAAAAATAAAAATCTAATATGACTCTACCGATTTCTCCGTGTTTGGATATGGGAAGAGCATGAATTGTTAAAATGTCTAAGCGTGCTTGTTCGTTAGGTAATGGAATCTCGATCTTTCTGTCTAATCTACCAGGCCGTAATAAAGCTGGATCCAAAGTGTCTGGTCTGTTTGTAGCCATTATCATTTTAACCTGACCCAAAGAATCGAAACCATCCATTTGGTTTAACAATTCCATTAAAGTTCTTTGAATCTCTCGATCAGCACTTGTACCTTCGGAAAATCTACGCCCACCTGTATAAAACAAAAAGTAATTAAAAAAATGATACTTTAATTTTCGGTAAACTATCAACGTTCGTACCGATTGCATCGATTTCATCCATAAATATAATGCAAGGTTGATGATCTCGTGCATAATTAAACATTTCTCTGATCAATCGCGCTGATTCACCAATATATTTATCAACAATAGCACTTGATACAACTTTTAAAAAATTTGCATCCAACTGGCTAGCAACTGCTCTGGCCAATAATGTTTTTCCAGTTCCTGGAGGGCCATATAAGAGACATCCTTTTGGAGGTGTTATACCCACTCTCTGAAATAGTTCAGGGTTATACAGTGGTAGTTCTATAATTTCTCTCAGTTCACGTATTTGTTCGCTTAGGCCACCAATCGCAGAATACGGAACAACGCCAGGATCTTCGTGCGACATGTTGTACACCAGAGGATCAACCTATAAATGATTCATAAGCAATTAAGATTTATTTGGATTAGAAATTAACATAACGATAGGTTGGATTTTACCTCACGAGGTAAATAGCGCATTATAGTAAGAGTAGTCATATCAAGTGCTACTCTTGTAGCAGATTTTAATTTGTTTTTATCAAGTTGTCGCCGACAACCGACAACATAACGTGGACCGTTTGTTGCTTTTACAATAACTGTGGGTATAAAATTATACGTATAAATATTTCTTTATATGTAAATATATAGTTGTAAATCATGCACTTACACTTTTCCTCTGTGAGTTGTTTTAATACTTCTCCAACAATCTAACATACAAATGTTTTGCATTATTTTAGTATAGAAATGATTAAACATAAATAATTTTATTTACCTGTCCAACGCTTTGTAAAGCTCTCAGATCATTTTCAGATTTATCATATTGCTTTGTTAAATCTTTGAGGTGTTCTCTCACTGAAAACATAAAAAATGTATTCCAATACAATGTAGCTTTGAGGTTAAATGTTTGGACTCGCTTATGAAAGTACAACGAATTCAATAAATACATAATAATAACTGTGTCTTACTTTCTTTCAAACGTGATTCTACTTCTTTATGCTCAAGAAGTTTTTTTCGATAATCTTGAAGGGCGTTTTCCTTGACAGGGCTCATGGTATTCGCCATTTTTACTAATTTTGCTGTCTAACTGTCTTCGATAATATTTTTGTAGACGACCATAGACGACAAACGCGTACATACACATGCCGCTATAGTTCTCTTATTTGATCAATCGGCATGTATGTCATCTTTACAAAATGATTAACAATAATTGCGTTTATTTATTGCAGTATTTAAAATGTAAGCATTTAATCTTATTTTCTTCTCAATGAAATTCTCATGAAATTATTCATCTTAGTTTGCCTTTATGTTTCATGCTGTTACTATACTATCTAACAACACTATAGTCAGTGACTGTTAGCTTTTGATTAATATACTCAAAGCTGCTAGCCAATGCAGTCACAGGTCATAAAACATGAATATACCATGATGTGTAATAAACCAAGTAGCCACAGGTATCCGAGTTATGTTTATTCTCGAAGGAAGGTTATGTTATTAACAATGTTTTGTACTTCCATGAGTTAAAGTTGTCGTTAAATGTTAATGTACGTAAAATGAAGTATGGATTAAAAACTGCCAAGTAATTATACTGACAAAGTTCTACTCGATAAAGAAATATGAAGTTAGTGAAGCCAAATTGGGTTACACACGATGGTTTGTGTCAAATCTTTTATTTTAAAGCATATTTCCTCGATTTTTATAACTAAAATACTTATACTTGAATTATTTTCTTTAGGTTACCCAATATTTTCCGTGGATATACATCCAGATGGAAAGAGATTTGCAACCGGTGGTCAAGGTATTGGTTTTTCATTTATATTTAATACTTTCTATAAACATAGCATTTTGTTTATTTTTCTTGTTGCTTTACATGTAAATTTTGCTCTTCTTATCGTAGGCGGAGATTCTGGCAGAGTTGTTATATGGAATATGGAACCAGTAATTAATGAAATTGCAGAACTAGATGAAAATATTCCAAAAATGTTGTGCCAATTAGATAATCATCTTGGTACGACGATACAATACATTGGATGTATTTAAATGAAGCGTGTAATACATATTACCAATATCATCATTATTTTTGTAGCTTGTGTCAATTGTGTCAGATGGAGTAATAACGGGTTATTAGCATCTGGTGGTGTAGATAAACTAATTATGATTTGGAGATTGTCTGGTGGATCAGGCGGTAGCTCCGTATTTGGTGGAAAATCTAGTGTTGAGACATGGCGCTGTATAGCTACGTTACGTTCACATGAGGCTGATGTACTTGATCTTGCATGGGCACCGCATAGCCCATGGTTAGCTTCTGCATCAGTAGACAATAGCGTGATTGTATGGGATGCTTCAAAATTTCCAGCTATTGTAGCTGTATTAAAGGGGCATACAGGATTTGTAAAAGGAATTACATGGGACCCGGTAGGAAAATATCTGGCTTCTCAATCTGATGATAAAACGCTACGTGTATGGCGCACTACAGATTGGACAGAAGCAGCATTAATATCAGAACCATTTGACGAATGTGGAGGAACCACTCATGTTTTAAGATTATCTTGGAGCCCGGATGGTCAATACTTAGTGTCGGCTCATGCAATGAACGGCGGAGGTCCAACCGCGCAAATAATCGAGAGAGATGGATGGACCCAAGACAAAGATTTTGTTGGACATCGAAAAGCAGTTACATGCGTGGTGTGTATAAAGTATAAATATTATCATTTATGCATTTAAAGTTGAAGTATTTGTTCATCGAGAAGCAAATTTATTGAATACTTTTTCATTATTTATTGCAGAGATTTAATGGGAATATTTTACAAAAAAAGCAACCAGGTTCCTCAAAGCAATATTGCTGTGTTGCTATAGGCTCTCGCGATCGTTCACTCTCTGTATGGTTAACATCGTTAAAAAGGCCTCTGGTAGTAATACACGAATTATTTACACATTCTGTCTTAGATGCTAGTTGGTCTCCGTGTGGTCTGCGATTGGCAGCTTGTTCTTGGGATGGATCTGTTGTAATTATTGAATTTACACAACAAGAATTGGGTCAACCGCTGGACCCCGCTGAACAAGTAAGTAGTATTACAGTAAATACAAAAGCTTAAGTTAGGGCATAATATCGTGTATGATTTATTAAAAATATACAGCGGCTAGAGCTTAATTAAGTAGTTACACATAGTGAGAGTTAGATGTTTGTTGATGTTAGATGCTCTTTTTTTTATTGTAGAGTAGTCTTCATGAACGTTTGTATGGTAAACCTCTAGTTCAAGGTGGTTGTAATGTAATGGAAGCACCTGAACTTCTTAATTTAAAATCGTCAACACCTTCGACTCAAACAACTCAAACGCCAAATATAAATTCAGTATATCCACCTACTTCAACTACTCCCGCTAAAGGTCCTATTAATAAACAAATTGAAACGAGGACATCGGATGGCAAAAGGCGGATAACACCAATGTTTATTCCACCTCCGACGGACGCAATGTAAGCTGAACTAAGTTCTTTATTATTATTTAAAAAAACAGCAATCTTTTCCATAAATGTCCTATCCTTGATTGTTTTCATTTATTCTTAGGGATTCGCCGAGTGGTAGATTAGGAACGCCAACATTTACAAGTCAAGTTAAAAGTTCAATTGTTATAGAAAAACGAAATGATGTTGTAGCGCCTAACGTTACCACCTCTGTAAATTTAACTAATATGAATATATCACCATCCACACTTACTCTGAAGCGTCGTGAACAAGCTACACCAAAACCACATCACAGTTCGCTTAATAAGAAACCGAAAATTACATCCGAAAGGAATACTAATCAAATATTACTTCCCCCGTTAAAACCGTCCAGTTCATTGTCTCAACAGGCTGGTCACTATGCGGTAACCGTGACCAACAGCCAAGGTTTAGCTCATTTACAAGTATTTAAGGGTACCGATTCGGAACCAACTTGGGATCTGTATTTGGGATACAGCGCGGTAGCTTTAGCAGCATCACCAGCAGTTATAGCAGTTGGTTTGGAGGATGGAAGCCTTCATACGTTTCATCCTGCGAAAGGATGTCGTCCAGCGCCTCCTTTAGCACCACCTGCACCACTTGCAAAAGTTCATGCAGTTGGAAATGCAGTACTATGACTTCTTTAATTAATATATAAATCATAGAAACCATAATAAACTATTGTGATTTAAGCGTGATCATTGTTTACAACGTATCAATGTTTTAGGTAATGGTTATTTCAAGTTGTGGGGCTGTACGTGTTTGGGAAATAGGATATTCTTGTAGAATGATAGTTTCCACTTCCGCTGCACATTTAGCAGTACCGGGCATCTCTTTGTTGTCTTGCACTTTATACAATGGAATGCCACACTTGGCTTTTACTAATGCCAGAGCATACGTATACCATAAAGAAATGGGTATGGAAATTATAGTTAATTATAATTCCAATGAATTTTGAGAAACTTTCAAAATTATAATAACACATTTAGGTACATGGCTATTAATTGGTGATAGTCAAGATCCCGTATGGCGATGGGCGTCATTCAACGCAGCAAGTACATCTGGAAGTAGAGTTCCTAGAGGTCCACTCTCTTCTTTACAAGAGGGATTACTCAGAACAGCTGGAAATACTTTACCGAATCCGAGATTACCACACAGCGCTCCAAGTGTAGTATCTTACTTGGAACAACAATTACTCGCTTCTAAAGCACTTGGAAGTTCTCAAGAATATATACATTGGCTCATAGCCTTGGTATCATTCCTATTAACTCAAGGTATGCATGTATTTTTATCTCTTGAATATTTATTTATTTATTTTATAAATTATCATATTTTTAGATGGATTAGAGAAACGTTTGAGGTTAATCTTAGACGAGCTTTTGGGACCAAGTCACACATCAGCTTCTAAAAGTATATGGGATCCTTTAATACTGGTATTGTTTTTCATACTTTCTCTTTTATACATTTCTTATGATAAATACATTATTTCAACATATAAATATAAACATATATATGCATACATCTACCAATATGATTATTTTATTTCCATAGGGGATTAAAAAGCATAAACTTTTAGAAGATGTTTTGTCCATTGTCGGTGGACACCTTCGTTGGCAAAGATTGTACCTTGAGTATGCAGAACAATTAACAACATTGAAGAATCAAACTATTTAAAAGAGAACGATCAAAATATAGATCTATAATATATATTATATATATTATATATATATTATATATATATATATAGATCTAATTATATATTAGCATTGTAATTATATATTATAATTCTAAAATAATGTCGATAAATTTTATACTACAACTAACAAAATAATTTTTTGAATTTTTCACATCCATAAAACCTTTTTTTTTTTACGTAATCTTAATCTAATAAAAAGCTTGTACAGTTCTTTTTATATTAAAATATTATTTAAAAATTGTAGTATTTGTCCTTACAGTTAAGTTTGTTGCAAGATTTAAGACAATAACGAGTGAAAAGACTGTTTTCTAAATAAAATAAAATATAGAGAAAGGGAAATATAAAACAAATTGATCGATTAAAAATTTTAACAATTTTATGTCACCTTTATATACATTACTTTATGAACAAAATGAATTCAGAGTATCTGCAATGCAACAGTACCAGACATGGCATTATCACAAACATTGACAAGATATGAAACAGGTGTCAACATATGATACGTGTAACTTTGATATTAACATTCAAATATTTCCAAAACTTGTATTACAATTATGTTCACCAATACTAATAAAAGGTGCATATTAATACAATACATAGTTTTAAAAAATACAGTACGATAGTAAAATACTTGCGCTCATAATTAGAACATTACAGTTAAGAAAACATGTTCTTCAATGTTAATTAATATAATGCAATATTAATTTGACGTATTTCATTAAATGCACTTTGTAATGGAAGCATGAAACCCGAAATGGATATATTTTATTTGTTACTCGATTTAACCATAACATTAAAATAAAAGATAAATTTGTAATCTTCTATATATTATAAATATTGTTTCTATTACAAAGCTGACAAATAAAATCTATAAAATACTTCAAGTGAAACAGCTATTATTAAAGAGTGGTTTTTATATAAGTTGTGAAAATTGTAATAAAAAAATGTATAAATTTGACACATAAATTTATGTATATTTACTAAAATTATATCCATGAAAACTTAAAATATATATAAATCATTCTTGAAACTCTTAGAACTATGTGAAATTTAATTGATTATATGTAAGAATATGTATGCTTCAAAAAAGTAGATATTTAAACAATGATTTAATACGGTAACATTAGCGAGGGAACGATGCACCATATAAAAAAGTAAATTTATAACTTGTAAGAATATAAATCATTATAGAATACAATAAATGTATATGATAAAAATCAGAATATTATAATAAAATTTATACAAATATAATAATAAATTCGTAACAATTTTACAAAACGTTGCATTAATTTAAAAATTAAATATAATGTTAGCGGTAACATTTTGAATTCAAAACTGGATTCTATTGTGCGATAATATGCATATAAATAGATATAGATGCACAAATATACAGCAAAATTTGTACCTATTTATTTGTCTTTTAATTGACACTGTAATTAAGGAAGTAAAAACTTATTTCTATGAGTTGTACTACAAAAATACTGAATTCATAAAAAGAATTTGCACTCATACTCATATGAAGATGGTTTCATTATAATTCGATCGCGAACCTACCTGATTAAATATTATAACAAATGAAGTGTTAAGAGGAATGCACAGAATCATTTTTAATTAAGTACGAATAAATACCAGTTAAAAACATTATGTACTCATTGCTATATAAAAAAAAATGCAAGAATTTAAAAATTATCATAATATTACGTCATTTTGATTATACTTTCTTTAAGTATTAGTCACGCAACTTGTAAAAGTTTAATATTTAATTAAGTAGTGAATACACAAAATATTCATATATTGTTTGAACATTTCACAATAATTATACAAATTTGATAATTCACATGTATTTAACGAGACTGCGTAAAATACAGAAAAATTATAAATCTGTATTCTGTAATAAGTATTAGATGCATCAGTCGAACTTTTGTAAATAGGATATATAAATGCGTTAATCTAGGCAAAATACTTGATACATGTTATATACCTTCATTTCTTCTAAAAAATGTAAAAAATTCTAAAGACAGGAACTACTGCTGCAAAAACTAATACAGTTTATCTCAATTGACGAATCAGTTTACATACTTTATCTGTAACTATTGTCTCGACAAACTAGTTAATACATTGCAATCAGTAGATAACATTTTAAATATTTTATAAAAAAAAGAAGTTATTGTTTTTAATATGAGAAACCTAGATAATATTTATTTAAATAAAAATAGACTATTAATTGTAAGTTAAAAATTTTGATCTTTTCAAGTCTAACTAATAGCATCATCGAGAATTACTATGTTTTTTTAGAAATTGTCACAAAAATCTATCCGCGACTACTGTTTTCCTATTTATCTGAAATTTCCCTGACATTACCAAAATCACATTTTTAACACCACAACGTTATAATTAGTGTCTATGCACCAAGGTATAATGTAATAGCTTCAACAAATGCTCAGTATAGATAACATGTAAATTTTGTACCTTTAGTGATAATTATCATCTCATCAAAATTGTAGTATTTGTATAATGCTTATACCCTCGCATAAATAAATGCATATAAACGCAAATTTGAAATTACAACTTACGTATTGTGCGTTATATGTTGGAGGTTGTAGCATATATAATAAGTTACGATTTCAACAATACATACAACTTCAAATCGATAACAAGCCATGACTAGTAATATTTAACGCGATGCAGGCCGCAATATATTCTGTTATTCACACTGCCACTTATTGCAGTAAGCATCATTATAGCAATAAACTTATTAATATCTACCATTATTAATAATATAAATGACATGTTGAATGCCATGGAGATCACCAGCACTAGACTTTCTATTAAGACTGTGCTAACCATCTATGACTGACTCTTCGAACATAAGTTTCTTTAAAACACTTACCATAAATAGACCGTAATATTTATACAGTTTTGAACAGCATTAATTTCATTAGACATACCGTAGAATAATTGGTTCACTATTAAAGAATCGAATGTTCCTAATTTTTACTCAATAATTTGAACCAACGTTGAAAATAACCTTAAACGCCTATGCAATATTAGGCGTAAGTGAAACTTATGAGTGAGATTGACACTCAACGTTTTAATGATGTTAAATTAGATACCTGTATATACGCACGCACGCACGTATGACACAACAATTAAGATTTTCAGAGACTCTACAGTATTATAATACTGCATTTAATAGCTAGAACTATTCCTAGCAACTTCTCTAATCCTAGCAACGTAAAAGTGTACTTTCTTATTGGAGAAAAACTAATCGCTGTCCATTATACCAGACTCTTTTAATTCTGATTCGTCGACATAATGATTTTTTGAATTCCTTTCTTCGACAGACTTTATACACTATAAAAATGTATTAATTCATTATCTCGTAAAATTGTAAATTACACATGCATATGCTTACATCTTCTATCCGTATTCGAGGTGCAGCGATTTGTTCAGGAAAATGCCATGGTTTGTAATTTGGATTATTTAGTAATTTCCAGTTAGGATAAGCTACCGAAGCTTTATGTAATTTTTTAACCATCTAAAAAAGAAATAAATATCGATGAAATTGCAATCCAAACTAAATACTAATTTGTAATCGATATAGAAAAACGTACTCTTGGAGCAAATATTTGCGTAACTTTATTTACTAGCCAAACTGGTAGCTTTCCATGCGGATCGGTATGAGATACATAACCCAGTTCTGAACCATCGCCATTTCGCGATGGTCTTACAATATATCCTTAAATTAAGAACTTTAACGATAAAATAGCGAATCACACCTGGATGGTTAGTAGGTTTTATTTTGATTTTCGAATTTTACCTGTGAGATAAGATGTTGCCCGCACAAATTGTTTTCTTGGTGGATAATCTTTGTGAAAAACAGAATGATTTAGAATCAACTGCTCAATACCGGTATCAAGCCACGATCTTTGCAGAACAAAATCTCTATTTTTCAATGGAGATGGGCAGGCCACTAGTTGATACATATTGATTATTTATTTAAATATGTTCCATTTGTACGTACATTCGAATAACAGAACAGCCAATAGTTACTAGATACTTACTAGAATAATAACCAATATCATTGTTTGGATTAAAAAAGCCTATATCTTTTGATTCGATCATATGCGTATCCCAAACTTTTCTATATTCCGGATCGTGTAATACATCATATAAAGTTTCTGGCAGAACATCGGGAAATCGAGTTCTAATCTAATAAAATGAACGAAAGTAAAACAATTTGAATAGTATTATGTATTTATAGGAAACAAAGGGATAAAATTTAATTGTGACCAAAAAAATACATACCTTTACCATTCTAAAACTAATTCCTGGTACAGACTTTGTCCAAACAGACAAATCAGGTTTATTGTAATCTAATTTCCAGTCATTATTATTATCATACAAATGCTTCAACTTCTCAAAATCCTTATCCTCAGCAATTTTAACAATTCCAATATCCATTTTATAAGAATATTGTCTATGAAACGAATAAAATTAATTAATAAAGCTGCTAACATGAAAAATAAATTTATTAATAATTTATAAATAAATAATTACATTACCTTGTATTCACAGAGTTCATAGCACTTTCATAAAAAATCTGAACATATTTAGTTCTACCATACAATAGGCCTTATACTTATGCCAAAGTAATCTTTGAATATTCTTAAGCATTGTTCTACTTTTTAAGAAATAATTAACTATATAGTTCACGATTCATACTGAAAAAGCAATAATGTTAACATCAACTTTGACGGAAAGGACCGACCACAACACCGCGACCTGCCGCGACCAACAGCGACTGACCTACACGATCAGCGATGCCGATTGCCGATGCGTCATATATCATACGTCACCTTACCGGTACGATGTAAAGTCCAAGTGCAAGGTACAAGTAAGCAAGTGCAACAGTTATAGGTTAACGAGCATCTATAGAGTTAGAATATATCTTTTCTAACCTAACCATAGTCAAGATTACCTATGCGTAACCGTCATTCCACAAGTGTTCTTCTTTTCATTTAAACTTTCAATATTTATCAGTTGACATTTTTTCTATGACTATTATTTATTCCATTTACGACTGTTACTGACAGTCACTTCGCTGTGATGTCACTGACCAACTGTCAAGTGCCTACTGACAGCTACCCATATTACATTATATGCAGCTACCACTACCATCAACAACCTGGCCTTATCTAATATCTATCATGTATGTATAGTATAAGCAAAGGTATATATATAAGGACTGTGTTTGGCATGCCGTCACATGCTGTCACCATTCACATAATTGCAGATAACCACATGCCGTATCACGTATCAGCTGCAGCTGTATTCGGCTAATCGGGATTGTTCGGCTTCGGCATTCCTCTCTGCCACATCTCTGCCACTGCTCTGATCTCTGATAAACTCTGATACAGATAGCAGAACGTTTGATATTGTCGCCCATTTAAATGCTTATCTTTAACCTTTTCATATATAATGTGATATCGATGACATATTGCTATTAAATAATTAACAATTATTAATATATTTAACGAAACAATTAGTTCATTGTTTCATATAGAAGAACGTTTTCAGTATGGCTACAAAAATTTCAATTAATACTGGAAATATTGACCTGGATAATAAAATCAATGAATGGTTAACGTGGAACAAGGTTCTGATATTAGCAATATTTTAAATACATCTAATTATCATTTTATTTATTCAAATTCATCTTCTATTTTTAGGATCCAAATGCAGAACACCAAATTGAAAAACTTGTTCGTGACAATAACACTAAAGTTCTGTTTAATTTATTTATGAAAAGACTTGAATTTGGTACAGCTGGCCTAAGAGGTTGCATGGGTCCAGGATACAGTCAGATGAATGATTTAGTTATAGTTCAAACTGGTCAAGGTTTATCAAATTACTTAATTGACGTTGTGCTGAATGTTACTGTAAAAGGTGTAATAATAGGATACGATGGACGTCATTGTAGTAAAAGGTTAATAATAATAATAATATACAATATTTATTTTACATTAATATGCAGTTATATTGTTATCATAGTCAAATAGTCGTATAGTTTTCCTGATATTATTTTAGGTTTGCAGAATTGACAGCCACAATTTTTGCAGAAAAAAATATAAAAGTTTACCTTTTTTCAAAGGTGGTTCCAACTCCTTTTATACCTTACGGTGTATTAAAATATAAATGCGCAGCTGGAATAATGATAACAGCTTCTCATAATCCTAAAAATGATAATGGCTATAAAGTTTATTGGGAAAATGGTACACAAATAATTTCGCCCCACGATAAGAAAATTCAAAAGTATATACTTGAAAATCTTAAACCAAATGAGTCTTCATGGGATGTGACAAAAGTCTACGAGAGTCCTTTATATAAAGATCCGTGGAACGATATTATGGAATCATATTTTCACGATCTCAGACAAAAAGTTCTATATCCAGAAGTAAATAGAAATACGATATTAAAATTCACTTACACTCCTATGCATGGTGTTGGGTATGCATATATGAGTGCAGCTTTCATTGCTGCAAATTTAAAGGTATCATTAATTAAGCTTTTACAAATAAGTAAAATAAATTTGTTCCATGTAGTATCATAGGAAGAGTTTTTAATACGGAACAGATAATCAAAAAAATAAATTTTATTTTAATTTCGAGCAGCCATTTATAGTAGTCGAGGAACAAAAATTACCTGATCCAGAATTTCCAACTGTTAAATTTCCAAACCCTGAAGAAGGAAAAAGTGCTCTAGATCTCAGTATAAAAGTAGCAAATGAAAATTCTTCTTCCATTATTATCGCTAATGATCCCGATGCGGACAGATTAGCTTGCGGTATAAAAATGAAAAAGTATGTAATCATTAATCATTTTTTTTAATAAATATAATATCAAGTATAATGTGCCCGACTGCCCGTTTTTATTACAGCGAAGAATGGTACATCTTCTCCGGCAATGAATTAGGAGCACTATTAGGTTGGTGGATGATGCATACACATCAAGTGCAACATCCAGATACAGATTTTTCAAATGTATATATGTTGGCATCAACGGTATCAAGTAAAATTCTGGCATCAATGGCTAAACAAGAAGGATTTAATTTTGAGGTGTTTACAATTAAAATAATATGTATTTCTGGTCCTCTTACTAGTGTTATGATAATTGTCTTTTGTATTTCAACAGGAAACTTTAACGGGTTTTAAGTGGATGGGTAATAGAACCGTAGAATTGAAGAAAGCAGGTAAAGAAGTTATTTTTGCGTACGAAGAAGCCATTGGCTTCATGTGTGGCTCCAATGTTCTTGATAAAGATGGTATAAGCGCAGGCATGCACATAGCAGAATTATCAGCTTACCTTGAAACTATGGGCTTTACTCTTTACGATAAACTGAATGAAATATATACCCAGTACGTTGTACTATTTAGATTAAAACTTGTAAAATTTTATATATATTTAAAGAAATATATGTATTTAATTTAGATATGGATATCATATTTCTAAAAATTCATATTGGATATGTCACGAAGCAGATATAATTAAGAGAATATTTGAAAGATTAAGAAATTATAACGGCGAACCAAATACGGTAAGAAGTGCGTGTATAACATTATTTTGAAATTTGTTCCAGCAGAGTAATGCAGCTTTTAAAATTAAATACATTATAAGAGCGCTTGTAATTTAAATAACTTATTCCTAATTTGCTATTTGTTTTAAATTAAAATATTTTCCAGTACCCAGCAAACATCCTAGATGGAAAATATCCTATAATAGGTGTTCGTGATCTAACAACTGGCTATGATAATACAAAACCAGAAAATAAGGCTGTTCTACCTGTTTCAAAATCCAATCAAATGATAACATTTACATTCAAGAATGGGTTAGTTATAACATTGAGAACTAGTGGTACCGAACCTAAAATTAAATATTACACAGAACTGTGTGCATCTCCCGGGGAACAGTAAGTTATTTGTAATGTTCGAAGCAATACAAAAAATGTAATTTATGAAAATTAATACAGATAATTTAAAAAGTGTTAATACTGTTTCTAGAAATATTACAATACTAAAAAACATACTGGATGAAATGGTATCAGCTATCGTAACGGAATTTCTTCAACCCGAAGTAAATGGACTTATATCTCGTACTAGTTAAATAATATTACAAGCCTTAAATATGAATTATTAACTATTTAAAATGTGAATTTACAGCAGAAACATGTTAATAACAATCATATAAGAATACATTTTTCTCAGCGAAACATACTAGAATATACATTTAAAGATTAACTTGCATTTTATTACATAAAATATTTAAACATCATACTTTCTGATTTGTTTCCATTACATTTTGCATTATTTTGAAAATAATTACAGGACGCAAAGTATTAATGTAGCGAAGTATATAAATTAACTAAGCTAGAAAATTTAATTAAACAAATACTATCATTTCTTATTTTATTTAAATGTACAAAAATATACAACATACATCCGTAACGATTGTAGTTTACCAATATAAATGATCTTTTAATAATTATTATAGTCATCATCTCCACTGAAAATGTTAATGAACATGCATGCGAACTTGCGTTACTCTTCCGATATTTGTATATTTTATATATTTTTCTTTTTATGTAAATTCTGTTTATTTTTATTTTTATTTTTATTTAATCTTGTTTCTCTTAAATAAAATGTAATACACTGAAAAAATATTTTGGTTATATGATATATTTTATTTAAAAATAAAAATATTACCTGCTCGTCTAAAAAGTTCACGAGAGTATTTATGTTGCAATTGAAGCCTTCTTCCTTTAATATAGAGTATAAGGCTTCGATACATAACGGTTCGTAAGTTAAGATATTGTTGTGTAGTTCTCTTTTAACTTTAATTAATGCAGAGAACACATCTTTAATGTTTTGTGTATTATCAGTTGTGATCGTGGGTTCAAGATTTTCGAATTGTAATTGTGTAGATACGATGCTACAGAATTGTGAAATTTATGTATTAATACAGTCAAGATCTACAATTTTAATCAATTATTAAGAAATCAAATACGATAATTGAATAGTAATAATTATATATAAATATTATATATTGATGTACCTCTCTTGAGAATGTTGTAATTCATATTTATAGTCATCCATATAATTGTCATTAGTTTTATTATAATTCGTTTTTTTTTTTGGTGGTTCCTCGTCATCGCTACTTATTATTGCAAATTCAGTTTCAATTTCTGTTGGTATCGTACAAATTATAGGATGTAATTCATTGTAAATGTGTGTCAATAATTTTATAGCTCTATCCCGCTTTTGTATTTTCAATCCATATTTACACAATTCTGCCTAGAATCAAATTAATGAATTATAAACTGAACTTTCTTGTTTATTCATTGTTTATCAGGTATAATTTATTAACTTACATGAAGTTCGGGTGTCTTCATATCATTATAATTAGGAAGAGGAGTTACATTGTCTCCGATAATTGTAGGTGACATAACTGTTCTCAACATTCTTTTACGACCACATTTGCATTGCGACCGATTTCGTTTACTGCAAGGATTATTCTTAATATCTTTTACATTAATATTCAAATTGCTCTCTGACATAGATTTTTTTTTGAATTTTCTATTGCCATTTTCTGTTGTATCAATTGTAGACAATTTATTATTTATTATGCTACATCTTAACTCACTTGAATTATTAGTTCGAACATTCGAAATACTTTCCCGACTTGTCGGAGATGTAACGCAAACAGGAAAGTATTTCTTATCGCTATCGTTCTGTACATTCTTTTCAGGTATTTGCGTAGACTTCTCGATATTAAAAACTAATTGTTCCTCTTCTGTTTGATTAATACATTCTATTTCTGGAGTTGTTGAAAAATTAGTGTCTACATCTATATCTGACAGCACAGTAATGTCATTACTATCTGTATTACTTTTTCTTGTATATTCGCATTCCTCTAAACTATTTTTTACAGAATTGTTTAGTATATACTTTGTTACAAAATCCCGATAGTTTACTATGCTATTATTCTGATGTTTTTTTTTATAACTCGAATACATAGATATATCACCTTCCTCTGGATATCGGTCAGAAGGAATACTATCCTGACTTTCGCTAGATTCCGATGGAGAGCATGCCTCTGCGGTTATAATGCTGTTTACATTTTCAACATTCGCATTTCGTATTAGTAAATTTTCAGATGTAGTAAATGTTACTTTATTTTGAATTTCGTTTTCTGTATTGTCTATACATTTTTCTCTATACATTTTTGTACAGTTTCCTATATTATATTCCAATGATCGCGTTAAATTGTTTATCGACTCAAAACTCAAGTGCATATTGGTATCGCTTTCTTCAAATGTATCTTCTGTATTCAATGTAGAAGTTGTATTAGTAATAGAATCAAACTTGCTTAAGACGTCTTGTTTTTCTTTGAATATTTCTGTTACAACAGCATTCCTATTTAATGAAGAATTTCGACTAGAATCATCATATTGTTTCATATTAAATGGATTTCTATTTAGTTTAGGAGAAACTGATATCAATGTAATTTCAGAATCTGTATCAAAGTCTGATTTTGCATTCTCTTTTTGAAATTGTTCAATAAATAAGCTCAAATTACTTTTTGGTTTCATTGTATTGAAATTCTTTATATTTCTTTGTTCCGATCTATTACAATGCGGCGTGTCTGACAATGAATGTATACATTCTTCAACATTTTTGTATGTAATAGATTTCGTAATCTTAGAATCATCGATAGAGTTAAGAATGCTAAGATTGTTATCATTTTTTGTTTCTTCAAAACCTGAAGTTCGACGAGTACATCTCTCTTTGTAATTCAGTATTGTGTCATTCGTATCGTCAAACATATCTGGAGATGCATTACAAAGCGGGATAATATTTATCTTACTTTGACAGTCAACTCCTCTTTCAGATGATCGATCTATATATGCATTTATTTCTATTTCTTGCGAATGAAGATTTTTTGCTATTGATGTTAGTATATTTGAATCAGGTGATGATTTTTCATCTATTTTTCCACATTCAATATCTTTTGTATCATGTATTTGAATCTCTGGTTCTTCAATTTCAGTTTCCTTCATTTGTAAATAAGCAAACAATTCTTCCACTTTGTATTTTCTTGCCAAATTTCTTAAAGAAGAGAAGCTTGTCGAATCTTCAAAAATACTCAAGTACTTCTTAATTATTCCACAATAAATAAATTCCAAAAACGCTAAAGCAATATTGTAAGAAACATCAAGCCAACAAATTCTTTCCTTGATCCCAATAAATTGTGAAGTATCATTGGGTATAACATCGATTAATATATTCGAACAACGCACATAAAAGACTAATTTATGTGCCCAAATATATTTGTCATTATTAACAAATATTATTATATCACTTGCAGAGCTATCGTTTAGTGCATCTCCCCAGTTTATTACTAAAGTATCAATATACTGTTTATCCTTGCAGTTTTTATGTTTTTTACTTGTAAGACATAAATCTGTTTGCGATATTCCAAACAATTTGTTCTCCTCTTTGTTCTTTTTTATTTTATTCTGATTCAATTCTACATCGTCTACTTTACATACATTTGTAAATTTTATGGCATTCTCTTCTTCTACTTCTATTAGTTTTTCTTGTGGAAATATATATTCAGAGAGATTTGTCACATAAAAACATTTCCGACTCTGTGTTAATCTTGCTTTGTCCCATATTTTGTCCTCCTTACAATAAAGTTCTTGAAGTAAACGACTCTTTAGAATAGTTTTCATTTTAATTTCTTGACTGTAATCATTTTTTTCTCTTTGTATTTGAGTAACCGGCTCATCTCCCATAAGAATTTCTGCAATTCTTTCTGTTAAGATTCGATTTCTTTCTTCTTGAGAACGTGTTTGAAGAATAGTTACTTCATTGTATTTTTTTCTTTTACTTTTTATTAGTGATATAGGTTTGCTGTTTGCAAATCCAAACTTTTCCAATGATCTTTTTGATTCTAATGCTTCTAATACAGATTGATTTGGTACTTCAGATAATCTTTCGATTTCACTAATTTCATCTAATTCTTTGGCATCGTAAAGAGATTTTGATAATGCTAAAGCAAGTTCAAGGTCAGAGTCTTTATTCAAATTTATTCTAGATGGTACAGGTTTCTTCTTGTCTGGTATTATAGGTGCAGCGAGTAAACCTAAGGATTTCCTTTCGTCTTCTTGACGCTTCTGAAGTTCTATAGCATCTAACAACTTTTTTGTAGAAATGTTATTTTTACTGGCACAAAATTTCATGTGCAATATTCGAGAGTCTAAATCTTTAAATATTTTAAAACATAAGGGACAGACGAGAGCCACTTTTGTATCGGTAGTCATATCGTTACTATCGCAATTATCTTTAGATTTAAAAAAAGAGGATTCTATAGAAAGTTGAGAATCCCGCGAGTGTTTTCTTTTCTCTGAATCTTGTTTATACTTCATATCTTTATGATTCTTGATACAGTTCTTAAATTTTGTAGCTGTTTTACTTTTATGTTTCAAGATATTGGATGTAGTACAATCGCTAAACGTTGGTTTAATAATTTTCGCGTTCGGACTTTTAAATTCTAGTATACTGTTATCTTCGGTTACTAACAATGTATTGGAAGAAATTTTATTAGTTTGTAATTCTTCGTCCATTTTAACTTTATCCAAAGCATGCTTTATATTACATTTTGATAATTCTTTAGGTATGCTGTAACAAATATTTATGTACTTGTACTACATTTCGTCAGACTAGACACAAATACATTCTCCATTGTTATAACAGGGTTATATATTTGTTATTAAAATAAATTTTAATAAATTAGGAAGCAACCAATATTGTAACAAAAATATCATTGATTAAATATATATTTTCCATATTTGAACAATTTATTTCATTTAATAATACAGTATTCTAAAGTAAATATAATATAAACATAAAAGTTTTATTATCTACCTTTCAGAACCATCCTTTTCATCTGTCCTCTTTAAACATAATCTATTTTCCATCCTATGTACTTTGAATGCAAACTATCATGCGACCTTGATAAATTTTTAAATCCAACATGAGTATATATGCAAATTGAATAGTTCTCTTATACTTGCTACAGATATTAGATCTTCTGTTAATTTTGATTTTAGCTGAATACGTTTTTTATAGTTTTTAAACTATCTACAATTTCCTCTAGCGAAAGTGGAGTTCTTTCTTTTAGAAATATTTCATCTAGTGTTTGCGGTTTATTAGGCTGAGTAATTCCCTCGAATTCGTTAATAAGTTTCTTCTTTTTTATAACATCTAAACTGGAATACAAAACGAGACAATTGTTATACTTACATTGAGAGGAGAAATTTTCAATATATCGAAATCGAACAGTTTAAATTGAAAAATGCGTCACTTAAAAATACTCTACATGCATAAATGAAATTTATCGCTTCACTATAATTAATTTTTAACGTTTTAAGTTTACTTTTTCGAATTACTACCTGTTTGAACACCTTGAATAACAAGGTTAACTTTTAACTATTTCTTATAAATTATAAAACTTTCTTATAAATAATATGTTCAGTACGAATATTATTTCGTGCATTACATTCCTTATGTACAATATTTTTATAATTTTATAAAATGATTTAGATGCACGAATAAAATCAAATGTAATTATGTATATCACGCAAAGTATGTGTACGAATATATTCACCAAAATAAAGCACAGGCTCCAAAAGGCACGGTGATCATCATAAAACTAACAACTACATTGACTTTAGCAGCTGGTGTACCTCGAAGAGACCGAATTTTCGGTTTCTTTAAAACTATTGGTTCATACATTATACAGAATTTTAATGTCAGTAAATATTATACAATGATACAAATACGTTCTAAATATTCAGTTATAGAGATCTACCCTTTAGCTCTGGCGCTCTAGCATCATCTACCATCGGTAATTTTAACTATACAGTGCTACCTCGGTAACATTTTATAATGAACACAAAATAATTAGTATAACTGATTTTTATTTAACATCGTACCACGTTCTCTGTTGTCTATTATACAAAATAAATTCTAATCTCTCCAATAACTATGATACTCGAAGTTTAATGATTTTATTTGTCAAGCAAAAAACAAACAAATAAACAAACAAACAAAGTACAAATGCGTGACAATTGAAGTCTTTTTAAATCGTTTTTTTTTTTGTAGTAGACCGTGAAATTTATGTTATTAACTTTAGATTTTAAAATAATTAAGAATTATTTGGTAATGTTATATGTATCATTGCATATCTTGAGTAGTTATTCAGTAATGTTTAACACTACAAATAAGTTTGTAAAAAATAGGGTATATTACTTTGAAGTGCTTTAATCTACTTATAAAATGGTATGTATTGCATTTATTATTAATCATTTGAATGTTTATATAATAATAATCATGTTTTAGGCTTCTACTTCTAAGAAGCAAGCTGTGATCAGCATAAAAAAAAAGAGTCCTCCAAAACTGGAATTGACATCAGAACAAAAAAATGATATTAAAGAAGCATTTGATTTGTTTGATCCAGATGGTACCGGAAGGATTGCTACCAAAGAACTTAAAGTAGCTATCAGAGCTCTCGGGTTTGAACCCAGAAAAGAAGAAATGAAGAAACTTATAGCTGATATCGATCCAGACGGTCTTGGTACATTATCGTTTGAAGAATTTTTGAACTTGATGTCTATAAAAATGTTAGAGAAGGATACAAAGGAAGAAGTTTTAAAAGCATTTCGTCTTTTTGATGATGACAATACAGGAAAAATAACTTTTAAAAATTTAAAAAGAGTTGCTAGAGAATTAGGTGAAAATCTTACAGACGAAGAATTGCAAGAAATGATCGACGAAGCAGACAGAGATGGCGACGGAGAAATTTCTCAAGAAGAATTTTTGCGTATAATGAAAAAAACAAGTCTTTATTAATACTTTGTAGCTTTCTCTTAAGTTAATTTTAAGGAATTAATGTCCTTGTACGAAAGTACTACAAATATCGATTATTTAAACTTCAAAGATTTTCACACATTAATCGTAACATAATTTCGTTGTAATTAATTGTCAATTATATCGCATAATACTAAATGTAAGTTATGGTTACAATATAAAATTGTAAGATGTACGATGTAATTTGTATACAAATAAAATAATGCAATTTGAATAATATTTGGAGGAGATGAAAAATGAAACATATTTTTAAGTAATGTTACAAAATAATTATAAAATACTTTAATGTTAATGTAACTCATAGTTTTATACAATTTGTCATTCGTTTGAATCTTCCTTTTTTGTTGATGATATAGCAGTGTTAATCAGTAATCTTACTAACTCAGCTCTTTTTTTAGACTTTGCTAAGCCTTTTGAAAATAAATGTTGAGAAATGGAAATTCCACCTACAAAGAATATTTGATATATAAAATAAAATATTAGAAACATGACATACTTAAATTTATTTTCATAAATACCATACGACATACCAGGCTTATGTATGCAACAAATTTTTTCTTCATCCATTACAATTGTAAATCTTCCCAAGCATAAACTTTCCTCCTCATCAGTAGGATCAGCAATTAATAACTGACTAAATAAAATAATAAAGTAGTATGTAACATGTCATATGTATTTTAGGAATAAAGATCCCAATGTATCCTTAAAAGAGATCATTCTATAAACGTACATACATTGTAACTTACTTATCAAATACAGCAAATGTTACAGATACTGGCATTGCTTTAATTGGAAATCGTATCTTCTTCGTAGAACAAACAGAAATACTTCCTGTTGCTACATTGTAAACTGTTTCGGGTAAACATACTACACAAAAATATATAAAATATATATAATAAATAATAGAGATATACATTGATTCAGATTTTAGTTACAATGTAACAGCACAAAACTTACAAGTATTAAGCGCACCAGTCAAAGCTCCGATACAAGCATCAATTACAGAACCATCATAGTTTATACATAGTAGATCACAATATAATACCCATACCAGTTTGCCTTTATAAATACAAAGATCTTTTAAATTAACAGCTGCTGAATTTTTCAAAATATTCTCTATTATTTTTGAAATAACTTGTGCTTGATCACTCGGTGGACCTGGTCGAAATTTTGGAGAGCATAATGGTGAAAGTTCTATATTTGGTATAATATATCCACATTCAGAAGATATAGTTTTAGGTGTTGCTAATTCCTATAACAAAATGAGTTATTTTTTGTACTGAATCAAATAAGTTTTGTGGAAATGCATAACACATACATCTAACGATTGTAAAGGAAAGGAGTAAGCGTATTAATTATATGTATACGTAATATTATACATCTCGATCATCCTGTTTTCAACATTTATTTGTTACTTCTATAAGCATAAGAAATACAAATCGAAATAAAAAAATTGATTACAAAATACTTACAGCTTTAATGCCACATACAACTGTTGTATTCCCAATTTTAAATATTGATGAGCTATCGGCATGAGTAATCGATGAAATATTAACGCTTATCGGACGAAAAGATAGAAATTGCCTACCATCTGGTCGAACACCCTGTGCCTGAAAGTTTTGGATAGTTTTAGTAGTTGCAGCATGTAATACTTAAATACATCCATACGTACCAGATGATCCTGCAAATATTTCACAGGGTGTATAGTCCTAGAATGATGTTTTAATTAAGATTAATTATAGACAAACAATTTTTAAACATTTTATAAAACAATATATTTTATTATAAAGTAGAACAACACGATGCATACGATAAAAATGTCACTTCGAAGCGACTACAAAACAGGTTATATTAGAACTAAATAAACGTGGTCAATTACTCATATATTTGTGAATATAAATATACAATTTCATACTTTTTTTAAATACATATTATTTCAAAACATAAAATTAATATTAAATATATACATATGTATATACAGTACATGTTCATCTCAATAAAAATGTACATATAAAAAATGTCAAATACTAACTTGTATTGAGTATCCATAATATATTTCCACTGGACTTTTGTTATAGAATTTCAATTTATTAAATACAACATATCAATTTATGTACATCTATAACAGAATTCTGTATAAATTATAACACATAATTCAACATACAAGAATATGTTAACTGTCAGCAAATATTTTCTGAAATTGCTTAAAAAGTGTCAAGGAAGAATTAAAATTCTTAATAATAGAATATACCATAAATTTATCTGAATTTTTTAAAAGAATCGTTATATAATGGGAAATCAATTTTTTTGTATACTTTTACATGCATTTATCTACATTTAATATGCTATTCAACATTTGTAAAGTGAATAAATATTATTTACATATTGTATTATTTATTTTATTTTATTTATTACAATCAACGCATTTCACAAAGTATCATGTAATCTTATAATACAAACAATTGAACAAAGTTTAGTCCTGTATGTTTAAAAATTTATTATATAATGTTATAACAGCATAAACAGCATTTTGTTCCAAAATTAGACTGGTATCAGCTATTTATAATCAGTAAAAAAGAATAGTGTATTCAGAAAGGCACAGTGTGGCATATATTCTTACAATATTGTATCAATGAAAATTAGAATCTAATTATGGTAAAATATTGAAATATTACAATATAACAAAGACATTGAAGTATAAACGGTAAAAATGACATAATTTTACACATAGTGAATTATTTCTTTACACCATATAAAGAGTTAAAAATAGTAGTCTTTTTTGTTTGAATATCTGTGTAATTACTACAACAGTTTAACTTTGAATGTCAAGTATACTTTTCAAATTAATTATATAAATTAGATATATATGTATATAACAAAAATAATAGTTGAAATTTAATACAAATCCATATGAATCATTTGTACACAGACATTTTTCTCGATATTCGATATAAATATAATTTTAAAAAACTATTAACCCTTTTAGTATAAAAGATATAAGGGGTACGGATGAGAAGATGAAACCTAAGGGTTATACAGGGTGTCTCAAAAGTCGGGGAGGAGCCGGAAATGGGGGATAGCTGAGACGATTCTGAACAACAATTTCCTTTGCAAAAATGTCGGATCGGGCTTCGTTAAGGAGATATTAAGAGAAAACCCCGACCAATCAGAGCGCGCGTAGACCGTTCGAGCGGCCG